TGGCTGGAAATTTTCAGCAGGCTATTTACATCCCCTTTATTTATTCTTGTTTTCTATTTATACACCTCGATCATATCCCCCCTAATTCTACGCCTTTCGAGAGAGTGCAGATTCAGGGCCCTCACTCTATCCTCATAGGGAAGATTTCTGATACATGGGATCATCTTTGTCATCCTCCTCTGTATGCTTTCCAGAGCATTTATATCCATTCTGTAATACGGTGACCAGACCTGAGCAGCATAGTCTAAATGAGGCGTAACCAAGGATATATATAGTTTATATAGAGTTTATATAGAGTTTATTACTCACGAAATCGTAATGACACGATTGCAAACAAACCATACCCCGGCCGGGATTGAACCCGCGGTCAGAGTCTCAAAACTCCAGCCCGTCGCGTTAGCCACTAGACCAGCTAGCCACAATAAGATTCGTCCAACTAGGTATATTTCTACACCATAGGAAGGTTAGCACAGGCACCACTGTGACCACAAATGCAAGTTTTTACAGACGAATCTCCAGCTAGCATGGCTGTGACGAACTCTAGCTCAAGTCCCTTCACTGCCGTCAACATGACTCACGAAATCGTAATGACACTATTGCAAACAAACCATACCCCGGCCGGGATTGAACCCGCGGTCAGAGAGTCTCAAAACTCCAGCCCGTCGCGTTAGCCACTAGACCAGCTAGCCACAAGAAGATTCGTCCAACTAGGTATATTTCTACACCATAGGAAGGTTAGCACAGGCACCACTGTGACCACAAATGCAAGTTTTTACAGACGAATCTCCAGCTAGCATGGCTGTGACGAACTCTAGCTCAAGTCCCTTCACTGCCGTCAACATGACGGCAGTGAAGAAATATACCTAGTTGGACGAATCTTATTGTGGCTAGCTGGTCTAGTGGCTAAAGCGACGGGCTGGAGTTTTGAGACTCTCTGACCGCGGGTTCAATCCCGGCCGGGGTATGGTTTGTTTGCAATAGTGTCATTACGATTTCGTGAGTCATGTTGACGGCAGTGAAGGGACTTGAGCTAGAGTTCGTCACAGCCATGCTAGCTGGAGATTCGTCTGTAAAAACTTGCATTTGTGGTCACAGTGGTGCCTGTGCTAACCTTCCTATGGTGTAGAAATATACCTAGTTGGACGAATCTTATTGTGGCTAGCTGGTCTAGTGGCTAACGCGACGGGCTGGAGTTTGGAGACTCTCTGACCGCGGGTTCAATCCCGGCCGGGGTATTGTTTATAGAGTTTATTATTTATACTTCTAGATATGAAGCCAAGAATTCTGTTAGCTTTATTACGAACACTAATGCATTGTTGCCTTGGTTTTAGATTACTGCTAACCAGAACTCCTAAATCCATTTCGCAAACAGTAGTATTAAGATCTACATTATTTAGTTTATATGTCGCATGGTTATTTTCCTGTCCAACATTTAGAACTTTGCATTTGTCTATATTAAACCGCATCTGCCACTTCTCCGATCATTGCATCGGTCTATTCAAATCATCCTGGAGTGCTCTAGTGTCATCATTAGAATGAATTGAACGGCCTATTTTGGTGTCATCAGTAAATTTGCTTATGTCGCTATTTATTCCCTCATCTACATCATTTATGTAAACTGTGAATAACAACGGGCCCAGCACTGACCCCTGAGGAACACCGCTTGTGACGTGCCCTCATTCTGATTTCTCCCCATTTATGCAAACTTTCTGCTGCCTATTTGTCAGCCATGCCTCTACCCAGGAAAAAAATTCTCCTATTCCGTGTGCCTTAAGTTTCCCCAATAGCTTCTTATGTGGAACTCTATCGAAAGCCTTACTGAAGTCCATATACACAATATCATATTCATTACCATGATCTACCTCCTCAAACACCTTAGTGAAAAAAGTTAGTAAATTCGTAAGACAGGAACACCCCTTTGTAAAACCGTGTTGAGATTCATTAATCAATCTGTGCCTATCAAGATGGCTACGAATTGCTTCGGCAATTATTGATTCCATAAATTTCCCCACTATGGAGGTAAGGCTTATTGGTCTATAGTTCGAAGCCAAGGACCTGTGACAAGCCCTAGTAATGTGGTTCACACATATGAGATTATATCACGCAGAAGACACAAACACAAAAGCTATGCCAATATCACCATCAAGACCTGTGACAACACTGGTAGCGATCTCAGCTCACATACTAGGTGTCCGTGGTTTGATCCCCAGCATGGGTGGACACGTTCAGCATATTTCCTTACACATGCTGCCCCTGTTCAATTAGCAATAAGTACCTGGGTGTTAGTTGGCTGTTTGCGTTGCATCCTAGGGAGGGGGGTAGTATACCGATGAGTTGGGTTTTGAATGAGCTTAGGCTGGATAACAGCTAGTAGGCTGTAAAACTGACTGATGCCAAAAGAAAAGATCAGTGACTAATCACCCACACAATAACTATGTTTACACCACCCACAAAATGTCTGTGACTACACCACCCACACGAGACATGTGACTACACCACCCACAAGAAACCTGTAACTACACCACCCACACGAGACATGTGACTACACCACACACAAGAAACCTGTAACTACACCACCCACACGAGACATGTGACTACACCACCCACACGAGACGTGACTACACCACCCACACGAGACATGTGACTACACCACCCACACGAGACATGTGACTACACCACCCACACGAGACATGTGACTACACCACCCACATCCACACACACAAGACTTGTGACAACCTTACACACACATAAGACTACCTCACACTTACATAAGACCTGTGACAACCTCACACACATAAGACCTGTGACAACCTCTCACACGTACATAACACCTGTGATTACCTCACACATTAGACTTGTCACAACCTCCCCCTCCTGCCATCTGTGACTGTAGCAGCATCTATTGACGAATCCGTGATTCATTTAACTTTACTTGTTCCTAGTTCTCTCGTTTCAAACTGTCATTGTCATGTACCTTCTAGCTCTTTTGTGCTGTAAATTCGTCTGATTCAGTTCCCTTAATCTTATAAGCGTATGCTTATAAGCTTCTAGACTTTCTCAAACTTCCTAACATATTTCATAGAGCGAATTCTATTACGTGCCCTACACACGCTATATACAGAGTTCAAAACGATCCTCTACAGATGTTCTTGAATGTTGTTCCCAGTTCATACAGTTAAAATTCTCCGACATTAATACTTTAAATTTCTTTCTTCCAAAGCCGGCGCTCTATCATCAGTTCTACCTCTCCTTTCCCGAATTACTTGACAGGCTTATGTCAGAGTGAAATCCATCAGGCACTTATCTGATCTAGGTGGCTCATTGGTTGCCGTTTCTTCTATATTTTCCTCAATAATACTAGGACAATCATCCACACATACTTACAAATGCTGAAGAAAATTCTGACATTAGCTAAGGTTTAATACAGTACTTTAGTTATCCCGTTTTGCTTACATTAGACGAAAGGTTAAATGTGTAGACAATTCATTGTGACTGCTTTCTTTTCTTCAAGTGCTCTGTTATCCACCGTAACAATTTCCCTGGCACACCAATTTTTATTTCATTTTGTAAAATATTTATCTGTGGGATATTGTATCAGTAGTCATTTGGCGGTCAAGGAATATTACTTTATCAACAGAATGTCTGTGACATTCTGTTGTAAAATGATTTTGCTTTTCTGTTAGATGATTTCTCATTTGTGAGTCTGTATAAGTATTTCATAACGAAACATATGCTTAAATCTATTATTTCTCTTAGTAGCTTTACTGTGATCTTTAACGTTGTGTATATAAGCTCTTCTGATCTGGAATTTTGCGCTTCTTTTATGACTATTCCCAGATATTGGCGCTATATTAGCTGTTTTCCAACTCTCAGGTTTCTCTACAAAAATATAACCCTAACTTTGAAAGGGGTGGACCGATAAGCCATCGGAAGGCCTCTGTCTGATGATCAAAAACTCCAGCAGCGGGTCATCATATGACTTAGACCCGCGTGAGGACACACTTGTCCTGTTTCCTGAATCTTACCTAACCTGGTTTCTCTCCTTTTTCCAGCGACTTCTTTCGACAACAGACTGACTGTTCCAAGACCAGTTAGCGAATGGTGAGTCGAGCCACCATTATCCTGTGTTGAATAACCCACACGGATTTCCAGCTTCACTTAGTTCGGTAGCGCCCTCAGCTCACAGAGGTTCGTGGTTGAATCCCCGGTATGGGTAGAAATATTGGGGAGTGTTTCCTTAAGATAGCTGCTGTACTGTTTACCTAGCAGTAAATACGTACTTGGGTATTAGTCGACTGTTGTGTGTCGCATCCTGAGGATGCCCAGGGTTTTCTATATAGTATGCCACTGATGCCTGCTAGGCTTCCATATGTCGCACATGTATTTGTAGAAATGAAGATAATAATAATAATAATAATAATAATAATAATAATTATTATAAAGAATATAATTTTTCTCCAGCATGAAAAGAACTTCTTGTTATGGGACTTCGCAAACTTAAAGGCGTTATAGAAATTAAACTTCTGTCATTACAGGTTTGAACTCCGAGAGAAAGTCAGATTCTGATGTAATGTTAGACTAGGCAAGTTCTTGTCTCTTGTAGTGGCACTGCCCTCATGTGTCTTGTGGTGGCACTGCCTTCATGTGTCTTGTGGTGGCAGTGCCTTCATCTGTATTGTGGTGGCACTGCCTTCATGTGTTTTGTGGTGGCACTGCCTTCATGTGTCTTGTGGTGGCACTGCCTTCATGTGTCTTGTGGTGGCACTGCCTTCATGTGTCTTGTGGTGACACGGCTTTCATATGTCTTATAACTGCACTGCTTTCACGTGTCTTGTAGTGGCACTGCCTAGTGTCTTTTGGTGGCAGTGCCTTCATGTGCCATGTAGGGGCACTGCCTTCATGTGTCTTGTGGTGGCACTGCCTTCATGTGTCTTGTAGTGGCACTGCCTTCTGTGCTTCTGAGTGGAACGTGTGGTTTAACTCTTATCTTCCACCCGCAGGTGTCCTGGGTTCGTGGACGGGACATCAGACTGCTCACCACCGGCTCCATCACTTACACATCGGATTCGCGCTTCGTGACGGTAAATCCTTCAGGGGGACAACAATGGGTTTTGAAGATCCACTATGTCAGGAAGAGCGACGCGGGCTCCTACCTGTGTCAGGTCTCTACTACACCGCCCGTCTCGCTCACCGTCAACCTTACAGTCCAGGGTGAGTGTGTGCGAGGGAATGTATGGGAGGAGGCTTGGTTTCTCCCATCTTTATCGTGTTACTTCATTTTCCACTGTTAAATCTACTATACATTCGAAACTCAGGACATGATCACCAGCACCGAGGAGCCTTTCAAGTGTAATATCCCCTATGTCTGAACTGTTCGAGATGAATACAAGGTCCAGCCTTGCTGCTTCATCCTTTCCCTCCCTCCCTCCCTCTCTCTCTCTCTCTCTCTCTCTCTCTCTCTCTCTCTCTCTCTCTCTCTCTCTCTCTCTCTCTCTGGTTGTGTTCCTCATGTTCGTGCATGAAATTTTCCAGCACCACCGCCACATCTTTGTTCTTTCATGTGTGAGTGAGTGAGAGAGAGAGAGAGAGTGTGTGTGTGTGTGTGTGTGTGTGCGTGTGTGTGTGTGTGTGTGTGTGTGTGTGTGTGTGTGTGTGTGTGTGTACTCACCTAGTTGTGGTTGCAGGGGTCGAGTCACTTTTCCTGCTCCATGCACTTAATCATATCTCTTCTTAAAGCTTTGTATGGATCCTGCCTCCACTACATCACTTCCCAGACTATTCCACTTCCTGACAACTCTGTGACTGAAGAAATACTTCCTAATGTCCCTGTAATTCATCTGAGTCTTCAACTTCCAACTGTGACCCCTTGTTGCTGTGTCCCATCTCTGGAACATCCTGTCTCTATCCACCTTGTCGATTCCTCTCATTATTTTGTATGTGGTTATCCCTCTCTCTCCTGTCTTCCAGTGTCGTCAAGTCGATTTTCCTTAACCTCTCCTCGCAGGACATACCCCTAAGCTCCGGGACTAGTCTTGTTGCAAACCTTTGCACTTTCTCTAGTTTCCTCACATGCTTCGCTAGGTGATGGCTCCAGACTGGCGCTGCATACTCCAATATTGGCTGTGTGTGTGTGTGTGTGTGTGTGTATGTACTCACCTAGTTGTACTCACCTAGTTGAGGTTGCGGGGGTCGAGTCCGAGCTCCTGGCCCCGCCTCTTCACTGATCGCTACTAGGTCACTCTCCCTGAGCCGTGAGCTTTATCATACCTCTGCTTAAAGCTATGTATGGATCCTGCCTCCACTACATCGCTTCCCAAACTATTCCACTTCCTGACAACTCTGTGGCTGAAGAAATACTTCCTAACATCCCTGTGATTCATCTGTGTCTTCAGCTTCCAACTGTGTCCCCTTGTTACTGGTGTCCAATCTCTGAACATCCTGTCTTTGTCCACCTTGTCAATTCCTCTCAGTATTTTGTATGTCGTTATCATGTCCCCCCTATCTCTCCTGTCCTCCAGTGTCGTCAGGTTGATTTCCCTTAACCTCTCCTCGTAGGACATACCTCTTAGCTCTGGGACTAGTCTTGTTGCAAAACCTTTGCACTTTCTCTAGTTTCTTCACGTGCTTGGCTAGGTGTGGGTTCCAAACTGGTGCCGCATACTCCAACATGGGCCTAACGTACACGGTGTACAGGGTCCTGAATGATTCCTTATTAAGATGTCGGAATGCTGTTCTGAGGTTTGCTAGGCGCCCATATGCTGCAGCAGTTATTTGGTTGATGTGCGCTTCAGGAGATGTGCTGGTGTTATACTCACCCCAAGATCTTTTTCCTTGAGTGAGGTTTGTAGTCTCTGGCCCCCTAGACTGTACTCCGTCTGCGGTCTTCTTTGCCCTTCCCCAATCTTCATGACTTTGCACTTGGTGGGATTGAACTCCAGGAGCCAATTGCTGGACCAGGTCTGCAGCCTGTCCAGATCCCTTTGTAGTTCTGCCTGGTCTTCGATCGAGTGAATTCTTCTCATGAACTTCACGTCATCTGCAAACAGGGACACTCAGAGTCTATTCCTTCCGTCATGTCGTTCACAAATACCAGAAACAGCATGGTCCTAGGACTGACCACTGCGGGACCCGATGGTCACAGGTGCGCACTCTGACACCTCGCCACGTACCATGACTCGCTGCTGTCTTCCTGACAAGTATTCCCTGATCCATTGTAGTGCCTTCCCTGTTATCCCTGCTTGGTCCTCCAGTTTTTGCACCAATCTCTTGTGTGGAACTGTGTCAAACGCCTTCTTGCAGTCCAAGAAAATGCAATCCACCCACCCCTCTCTCTCTTGTCTTACTGCTGTCACCATGTCATAGAACTCCAGTAGGTTTGTGACACAGGATTTCCCGTCCCTGAAACCATGTTGGCTGCTGTTGATAAGATCGTTCCTTTCTAGGTGTTCCACCACTCTTCTCCTGATAATCTCCATGATTTTGCATACTATACATGTCAGTGACACTGGTCTGTAGTTTAATGCTTCATGTCTGTCTCCTTTTTTAAAGATTGGGACTACATTTGCTGTCTTCCATGCCTCAGGCAATCTCCCTGTTTCGATAGATGTATTGAATATTGTTGTTAGGGGTACACATAGCGCCTCTGCTCCCTCTCTCAATACCCATGGGGAGACGTTATCTGGCCACATTGCCTTTGAGGTATCTAGCTCACTCAGAAGCCTCTTCACTTCTTCCTCGGTTGTGTGTACTGTGTCCAGCACTTGGTGGTGTGCCCCACCTCTCCGTCTTTCTGGAGTCCCTTCTGTCTCCTCTGTGAACACTTCTTTGAATCTCTTGTTGAGTTCTTCACATACTTCACGGTCATTTCTTGTTGTCTCTCCTCCTTCCTTCCTTAGCCTGATTACCTGCTCCTTGACTGTTGTTTTCCTCCTGATGTGGCTGTACAACAGTTTCGGGTCAGATTTGGCTTTCGCTGCTATGTCATTTTCATATTGTCTTTGGGCCTCCCTTCTTATCTGTGCATATTCGTTTCTGGCTCTACGACTGCTCTCCTTATTCTCCTGGGTCCTTTGCCTTCTATATTTCTTCCATTCCCTAGCACACTTGGTTTTTGCCTCCCTGCATCTTTGAGTGAACCATGGGCTCATCCTGGCTTTTTCATTATTCCTGTTACCCTTGGGTACGAACCTGTGTGTGTGTGTGTGTGTGTGTGTGTGTGTGTGTGTGTGTGTGTGTGTGGTATTTGTCATATGCTTTTCTAGAAAGTGTCAGATTTCTTGACTTCCTATACTATATATTATTATTATTATTATTTTTAAATATTAATAATCATTATGATTATTTATATTATGATAATCAATGTTTATTATGTAATACACTAAATTCTTTTGGATCATTCAGCGTAAGGAGTGGCTGAGACTCCGTACACTAAACTTAAGGCAGACTTGCTACTCTTATAGCCTTCTATTATCATTTGTCATTGTCAAATGTTGGATATTTAGTTGACCTTTTAGGTTTCAAGCATATCCACTACGCGAGGGACATTATGGTTGCTTGCAACTTTCATACCACTAGTCAAATACCTGAATTCCTCAGCCTATAAACAAAGAAATACACTCTATTCGGTATGTATTTTTTGCGTTAAGGGAACGTCTAACCTTCCCGTTATCCCTGACAGAGGCCGTTGCTAGCGTGTTGCCTGGTCGGGAGGTGTACGTTCAGAGTGGGAGTCGGCTGGAAGTGGTGTGTCAGGTGGATGGTTGCCCTCCGCCTGCCCTCCTGGCCTGGTCCAGGGACGGACACACCCTACTCACCCCGGAGTCCAACTCTTACGACCTGACCTCCGACAACGGTACCACCACGCCCATCTCACGCCTCATCCTGGCACGCCCACACGCCACCGCTTCAGACTCCGGGACCTACAGCTGTACTTCCACCTGCACCCAGCCCACCAACGTTACGGTGCACGTGTTGCGAGGTGAGTTATGGTATTTTCGCTTGTGTGAAATCGGTGTAGTTTTAGGTAAATCAAACCCTAAAAAATACCATGTTTATGTAAATAGTTAATATATTTGCTCATTTTCCATAAAACAAAAGTACATACCTTTAAATGTACAAATAAAAACATGTAAATATAGGCCTATTTTATTTAATATACATTCGACCATTCCTTTCTAACAGCCTAAAGCCTCTCGTAATCTTTAGCCAGGATTATCGGTGTCTACGACAAGTATTGAGACAAAGCACTGGAAAAAATAATTAAAGATTAGTAGTGCAAAGAAGCGAGGGTTTAAAAGAGAAGTCATCTTGGGTTGAGGAATAACATACCTTGTCGATTTAGGAATAACATACCCTGTCGGTTGAAGAATAACATACCCTGTCGGCTTAGAAATAAAAAACCCTGTCGATTTAGGAATAACATACCCTGTCGGCTTAGGAATAACATACCCTATCGGCTTAGGAATAACATACCCTGTCAGGTAAATCTGTTGGAGTTCTATGATAGAAGAATAAGAATTAAATATTGAAGACAAGGGTCCAGGACGGACGGAAATGCCGCCACACGGTTCCTGTAGGTGCGAGATTTTTTGTGGAATGGAAGACAGAGGTTGAGTGGACTGCTCGGTCTAGGGCTGCAGGAAAGCATATGACAGGGAATATAACAAAAATCCGAGCCACAGACTAAAAGAGAGGCGGGGATAAACAAAAAGAGAGCTGTTCAAATGAATCCAGGAGCAATAAAAGAATAGAAGACGATGTGATCAGTACATTATTCTCGATACTTAGTTTCGAGGTGGTCAGTCCCTCAGCCTGGAGAAGAGTTCTCCATTCTTCCAGACTAGAGAGCAAAAAAAATAGAAATACTTAGGCGAGGGAACAGGAAAATGTATATGAATACACAAAGGTAATGAGGTTGTCAGTCATCAATACCGGAATTACTTCTGTTTCTGACATAGGTACACAGCCTGCCTGTCATAAAGAAGTGAATCTTATTTATCATTGCTGATGATGCGTAGCTAATGAGAAAAAAAAAGACAGGAGAGGACAGAGACACCCTTCAAAGTAGAGAAAATAAAAGAATAAGAAAACAAGGCAACAGCAATAGTGAAAAAGGCTGAAGGGGAAACATAAGGCAGGGAAGAGGAGGATAAAAGGACGTCATGCAGAAATGTTCCAGGAAGCCGAGACGTACAGGAAGTTGGTACGAAGAATAACAAAGAAACTATTAATAAAAGACAAGACTATTTTCTAGGTACATAAATGGGAATAAGGAAGATGGAGGTCGCTGATGATCCAGTGTCTTCATCACGTCCATACTACGGCAAGACAGGTTATGAATTTTGGAAGAACAAGGGATTAGAGCTCTCATTAGTAGTAGTAGTAGTAATAATAGTAGTAGTAGTAATAGTAGTTTCCCACCAAGGCAGGGAGGCCCGAAAAAGAAAAACTTTCACAATCATTCGCTCCATTTACTGTCTTGCCAGAGGCGCGTTCACACTACAGTTATAAAACTGCAACATTAACACCCCTCCTTCAGAATGTTGACACTGTACTTCCCATCTCCAGGACTCAAGTCCAGCCTGCTGGTTTCCCTGAATCCCTTCATAAATGTTACCTTGCTCACACTCCAACAGCCCATTGTTCCCGGCATTTTAGTTGCCTCCTACGACACGCATAGCTTACGGAGGAAAGATCTTTTCCACTTCCCCGTGGAGAATAAGGGAAATAGAGAAGAACAATAACTATTAAGAAAAATTAAGAAAAACACACACACATATATATATATATATATATATATATATATATATATATTATATATATATATATATTATATATTATATATATATATATATAATATATATATATATATATATATATATATATATATATATATATATATGTCGTGCCGAATATGTAAAACTGGTCAATTACCAAGCACTCGTTTAAAATTAAGTCCTTTCTAAAATTTTCTCTTATACGTTTAAAGATATATTTTTTCATTAACGTTAATGTAAAAATTTTTAATTTTGCACCAAAAGAATCTTAGAAAACTTACCTAGCCTTATTATAACAAGCGCAATTTATTTTAGCCTAACCCAACTAAATATATTTTAGATACGTTTACAGTAATTTAATAGTAAACAAACACAATGAAATATATTTTTTTCGTTAAGTTCAGAATAAATTTGACGAAATTATTGCATACACAAATTTTCACTTGTCCTGTATGGCAAGATGAGCGTTGCTATTTAAGCCAAGATCGCAAGTTCTGCCTATTCGATATATATTATATATATATATATATATATATATATATATATAATATATATATATATATATATATGTGTGTGTGTGTGTGTGTGTGTGTGTGTGGTTGTGTGTGTGTGTGTATGCGTGTGTATGTGTGTGTGTGTATGTGTGTGAGTGTATGTGTATGTGTGTGTGTGTGTGGTGTGTGTGTGGTATGTGGTGTGTGTGGTGTGGTGTGTGTGTGGTGTGTGGGGTGTGTGTGTGTGGTGGGGGTGTGTGTGTGTGTGTGGTGTGTGTGTGTGTGGTTGTGTGTGTGTGTGTGTTGTGTGTGTGTGTGTGTGTGTGGTGTGTGTGGTGTGTGTGTGTGGTGTGTGTGTGTGGTGTGTGTGTGTGTGTGTGTGGTGTGTGTGTGTGTGTGTGTGGTGTGTGTGTGTGTGGTGTGTGTGTGTGTGGTGTGTGTGTGTGGTGTGTGTGTGTGTGGTGTGTGTGTGTGTGTGTGTGTGTGGTGTGTGTGGTGTGTGTGGTGTGTGTGTGGTGTGTGTGTGTGTGTGTGTGTGGTGTGTGTGGGTGTGGTGTGTGTGTGTGTGTGTGTGTGTGGTGTGTGTGTGGTGGGTGGTGTGTGGTGTGTGGTGTTGTGTGTGGGTGTGTGGTGTGTGTGTTGTGTGTGTGGTGTGTGTGGTGTGTGGGTGGTGTGTGTGGTGTGTGTGTGGTGTGTGGTGTGTGTGTGTGTGGTGTGTGTGTGGTGTGTGTGTGGTGTGGGTGTGTGTGTGTGGTGTGTGTGTGTGTGTGTGTGTGTGGTGTGTGTGGTGTGTGTGTGGTGTGTGTGTGGTGTGTGTGTGTGGTGGTGTGTGTGGTGTGTGTGTGGGTGTGTGTGTGGTGGTGTGTGTGTGGTGTGTGTGTGTGGTGTGTGTTGTGTGGTGTGTGGTGTGTGTGGTGTGGTGTGGTGTGTGGTGTGTGTGTGGTTGTGTGTGTGTGTGTGTGTGTGTGTGTGTGGTGTGTGTGTGTGTGTGTGGTGTGTGTGTGTGTGTGTGTGTGTGGTGTGTGTGTGTGTGTGGTTGGTGTGTTGTGTGTGTGTGTGTGTGTGGTTTGTGTGTGTTGTGTGTTGTGTGTTGTTGTGTGTTGTGTGTGTGTGTGTGTGTAGCGAAAGACTGGATATCAAATTGGAGGGAGAGAATATGGAGGAGGTGAATGTATTCGGATATGTATTTGGGAGTGAATGTGTCAGCAGATGAGTCTATGAAAGATGAGGT